ATATCGGCATTTTGAAAGTTAGTGTCCTGGAATATTATTTGTAGAGTGCCCTTGTTTTTTAGTTAAAATTTAAACTTTACTCCTTATGGAGATGACAAAAATACCATTTTTTTTATAATAATATTTACAAAATTACTCAAAAAAAGTAACTTTTTTAAAAAAAATAGACTACAAAATTAATAAATCCACCTTTCACAACTCTCTCTATTTTGAATCTTTTTAAATTTGAAGGGTTGTGAAGTTTAGATTATCCTATACAGATATATATTTATTAGTAATGATCTTATGAGACCCTCCCACACCCATGTGAGGAAGGCCCCAAATGATCACCATCAAATTTGGCATAGATCTATAGAAAAGTCAAGTCCCACACCCATGTGATAACTTTTCTAGAGATCTGTACCAAAGTTGATGGTGATCCATAGGGATCCTACTCGCATGGCATGGGAGAGTCTCATAGTGTCATTTCTCTCTATTATATATATATATATATATATATATCATCTTTACATATCCGATTTTTCACTATATTTTTTGGAACCAAATCTGAAATATTCACGATTCTATAATTTACCTTATTTTTTGATGATCGGTATATTTGACAAATTTTTTCTTCCGATTTTTTAAAATAAAACCAACTTATTACTGTCATTGTCTGGTACCATGGCCCTTGGCCATATCCACTCTCACTCGTTTCCTATTTTTGTACCTTTTGATATTATAACAATGGCATAAAGATTCAATGCACCATGCCTCTCCCCCCCCTACTTCTATTTTTGTACCTCCAATTCATCAAAATAACAGAAAGATTCATTGCACCTAGGTTCTCCTCCTATTTATATTGCTATGGGATAGCTTTTGAAATTCAGCCCTACCTAGAGAGAGATCAAGAGAGAGAGAAGGGGATGGCGATTTCCTGTATCAACCAGTTACTCTTGGCCGCTACAGAAGAAATTATCTCTCTTTTAAACATCCGAGAAGCACAAGGAGGTCGACATCGCTGGGAAATGGAGGTATGCTTGGATTTCCAACCCTGTTTACGACATTTGAGCCGATACACAATATCTAAACCCATGTAGCTGGCCCCATATTTATATGAAAGAAAGGACTCTATCAACTATATGAGCAATTACATGGGTAATGCAAATTGATGCAAATAAATAATAACACCAGAAAAATAAAAGGAAAATGTTGAGAGCATATACCCTCCCTTAAGGTCTGCAAGTGAATCCATTCCAAGGTCAAGATCTGCAAGGGAATCTATCCCAAAATAATCTCTTCACGAAACCAAATTTTATTAACTCATCTACCTAATTTTACAATGAAGTAGGCTTTAAAAAAAAATAAAAAAAATAAAAAACTGACTTTTCTATTTTATCGCCTTTAACCTATTTTATATCCTTTAACCTATTTTATCTCCCTTAACCTATTTTCTCTCATCCTTATCTTTCTCTATTAAATTCACGTGCTCTCTTAACCATCACGTACCAAAAAGATATCTTCTCTCTTAACCTACGATCTTTCTCTATTAAATTCACGTGCTCTCTTAACCATTACGTACCAAAAAGATATATTCTCTCTTAACCTACATTTTATCCAAAACGTTCCTAAGTTGAAAAGATAAACCCCTTAGATTTAACCTTATTTTATTTATATTCCTAAACTAACTAACCCAATCCATAAATTTCAACTCACACATAGCCTCAATGCCCCCAAATATCCTTGCACATTCTCTCCTATTCCTGAAGAGATAAACTAAAGAATAATAAAAAAATTAAAATAACCCTAATATTATTTTCATCATTCTCCCTTGGGTGGGATAAGCTCGACCTCGAGCTCAAAAGTTGGTGATGAAGTCCCACCATGAGCCTCACTACTTTATGTTCAAGACTGATGTCAATGTCTATAACTGTGTTTCAAGAGTAATTGTTGAATATGAACTTGGGCTGATTATTCCTAACCAGGATTGGGTCCAACTTCAAAAAAACACCAAGTTCAATCGATGAACATGCTTGACCATGAAATTTTGGAAGATCGATTTTAATGTCAAAATTTTGTGGTCGTTCTATAGGAGATCGTGGATCTGGCTTCTCTATAGAACACGACTGATCTGGCTTGTAAATTTCTTATAATGCTTGAAATCAACACCTTGGATTTGTCGTGGAATTACTGGTGAAAGATGAATGTGGTTGAGGAAGATTGTTCTCCAACCGTTGCAACATCTGATTCATCTCTTAATTCATCTTGCATACTTCACTTCGAAAATCCTTTAGGGCTTCAGTAAAATTTTCTACCCAATGATAATGCATAGCAGGAGTAGGATTAGCTTGATTGCTCAAATCTAACTTGCTAGCTAGATTGCTTAGATCTAACTTGCTTTGTCTGGATCTGACTTTCTCTGATACCAATTAATGCAAATTGATGCAAATAAATAATAACACCAGAAAAATAAAAGGAAAATGTTGAGAGAATATACGTTCCCTCAAGGTTTGCAAGGGAATCCAAACCAAGGTCAACATCTACAAGGGAATCCACCCCAAAATAATCTCTTCACGAAATCAAATTTTATTAACTCGTCCACCCACTTTTACAATGAAGTAGACTTAAAAAAAAAGAAAGAAAGATAAACAACTGACTTTTCTATTTTATCTCCGTTAACCTATTTTCTCTCATCCTTATCTTTCTCTATTAAATTCACGTGCTCCCTTAACCATCACGTACCAAAAAGATATCTTTTCTCTTAACCTACGTTTCATCCAAAAGTTCCTAAGTTGAAAAGATAAACCCCTTAGATTTAACCTTTTTCTATTTATATTCTTAAACTAACTAACCCAATCCATAAATATCAACTCACACACAAACTCAATGACCACAAATATTCATGCACATCCTTCAGTTTTGGTATTGGATTTCAGTGGAAATTTTTGATATTGGAGTGGAAGTATAAGCATGCCTCCATTTCCCAAAGAGAATCGAAGTCCTCGCTTCTTCTCAAATGGTTAAAAGAGACAAAATTATTAACTCCATTTTGAGATCACTGATCCGACCTTTTGTGATAGCCACTTATGAGAGAAAGAATCTCTCTCCCTATGGACCATAGTTATCGGGAGTGGCGCTCCTATTCTGGAATCTCGCTCCGGCGCTCTGGTGCCGGGATCTCGCTCGGAACCCGTTCCCATCTTTTTGGGATCTCACTTTAATATTTTGGATTCTCGATTCTATTCACAATGGAGCTCGCTCTTGATACTGCACAGACGCATTCCTTAATTTTAGGATCTCGTTCCTGAATAAATTAGATCCTCGCTCTCAGAATTTAGGAGCGCGATCCCTACATATCCGAAACTCCATCCCTATTTTTTCAAAACATCCTGAAAGAAACTTCTTAAATAAAATAATTATATTTTAAGCCAAATTTTCATAAAAGTGGAGTTTTGTGATGGGAGCATGGACTAATCATGCACAGAATGCGATCCTTCCTTGAATGAAGCTCGATCCTTTCCAAATAGGAATGCAGTCATTCTTAGATGGGGGCGTGATCCTGTTGTTGATGAGAGCACGATCCTAATGAATATGGGAACACGGTCTCATTTGACATGGAAAGCATTCCCGTTAAATAGGGATCTTGATCCCGATGTATTGGCAACACAATCCCTATTCATACCGGATCTTGATCCGCTACTTTTTCCCTCACTGAAACTCGCTTCGCGAGCTTCGGAGCTTTGGGCAGAAGTCACTCTAATGCTCTCGCTCTCGAAACCAGAGCCATTTTGGCTCCCGCTCCTGGTAACTATGCTATAGACTAATGTTATTTAGCATGACTTGGCCTAGTACTTGTTAGCTCCCCACATTGCTTCACCTATTTTTATGAACCTCACTAATTTATTTTTATGGGAGAATCATATGAGTATTTATTTTAATGTTTGTCTATTGTTAACAGATTTTTTAAATGTAATATATAAGTAAATATTTATTAATTTATGTACATACCATATTGTGGTCAATTACAAAATGGGAACATGTTTTTTCCTAAATTACGGGCGGCACACCTTCCTCCAGCATTATATTTTTCCAAGTTACCCCTTGTCTGGCAAACCGAACACTGGACATGTGAGTTTTTTTAGTTTAAACCAAAAACAATTGTTTCAAATACCGGACAGTCGTCACTATCTTCTCCAATTCAATAGTATTATTTCGAAGATGGGGAGTCGGTTCCCCACAAAGTACAAATCTTTGTATGGTTAACAGCGCAAAATAATTTTTAACTATTGACAACCTGCTCAAGAGAGGTAAAATTATGTCGAATATTTGTTTACTTTGTAAACAAGATGGGGAGTCGGTTAATCATTTGTTGTTTCATTGCCCCTTTGTTTCTATACTCTGAAATTGGTTAATGAACATGATTGGTGTGTCCTTTCCTTTGCCTCAAAATGTACTGGATGTTGTCCATCAATTCTCTCTCTCATTTTTGCCTAAAGTTGGCAAGATGATTTAGAAAATTGCTATAGGCACGGTCCTTTGGATGTTGTCCATCAATTTTCTCCCTCATTTTTGCCTAAAGTTGGCAAGATGATTTAGAAAATTGCTATAGGCACGGTCCTTTGGGAAGTGTGAAAGGAGGGGAATAGGAGGACCTTTGAAGCGATTGCGCTGCCTATGGATAAAGTTATTCATATGATCAAATTGTCTATTTGGTCAAGCCTTTCGGTGTCTAACAAAGTTTGGGTACCTCGAAAGTGGATGTAATGGTGAATCTCCCTAATCTGTTTTCCCTTGATATGCATAGATGTAAGCCAAAAGGATTATGGGTTAAACCGCCATTGGGTTGTATTAAGCTAAATATTGATGGGAGCTCACTTGGGAACTCAGGCCCAGCTGGGATTGGAGGGGTGTTTCGAGATTCTTGTGGTAATACCCTTCTGTCTTTTGCGGGCGCTATTGGTGTGGCTACAACTAATTCAGCAGAACTGCAGGCTTTGTTTAAAGGGTTGGAGATTTTCACATAGAGGAATTTGGGATCCATATGTTTGGTTAAAGGTAATTCCTTGAATGTGATCCGTTGGTGTCGAAAGGAGCAGCTGGTCCTCTTGGCCGAAGATCTTGGATATTTCTGATTTTATTTTTGTTTCTTTCTCCCATATTTACCGTGATGCTAATGGTATCACTGATGCCTTAGCGAAAGGTGGTGTATCTTCCCTCTCTTTGTATTTCCAATAATGTAAACTCACCTTTGTGATTAATAAAATTCATGGATGTCTTTCAAAAAAAAAAAAACAGTATTCTTTGTCTCTATCTCTAAACTCACGAGACCTATCTCTACCTTCTCTCTCTCAAAACTTATACGAGGCTAGAATGGTTGTCTTTGGTTCCCACCTCAAGATTTCAATTCCTTCCACTTTGGTTTCTCAGGCAAAACCCCTAAAATTTGGCAGATTCATCGTCTTTTTTGAGAAAACCTCGCTTTGATCAATCAACTCCTAATCTTTGTTGAAGCCCAATTTGGTTGCCCTGAAACCCAATTTGGCAGAGATTTACCTCCCATTTTGGAATGACTTTTCCTCCTATATAATATATATTCATTGTAGAGAGAGAAGAGAGAGAGAGATGATCGTCGTAGCCGTGAGTAGCAGATAGAGTCGGAGAGTTTTTAATCCCTGCTAACGACAGTGAGATTTTTATGGGATTTGAATAACAAAATAAAAAGATTTGAATTACAATTATTTAACCTAAATAACATTTTATTTGAAATGATTTCAAAAACGGTCATTGTAACAATAACGCCCTCTTTTCTTCTTTACATAGAAGTGGCTAAAAATGTTTCATACACTTCAAAAAGTTGCTAATGTTGATAATAACTTTTTCTTTTGGGTGAGGTTTGTATGCTCATAATGTATAGGTTCCGATATGTAGTTCCCCTGCTAAAAACCTTACAGTGGATTAGCTTGAAAATCATTGTTTAAACTTAATAATGAAATTTAGAATTCTAAAAATGGTACATATCTAGCAGATATATAAATACTTAAATCTTAAAAATAGATGGTCCAGATAATTTGTTACTTCTTTGTGGATTCCTATACGAAGCTTTTGTATATGTGTCTTCGGATAATCCCTTATCATTTTCTCCAACAGGAATAGTTCTTCTAATTCTATGAATATTTTGAGAACATTCTTTTCTTGAATTTAATTAAAAAAAGTTTTGTATTGGCTGGTATTCTACCAATTTGTAACCCAAGGTTCCAGACTTTTATTAAATGAGAGAGAAATTCCCTAAGGTAGAAAATCTATAAAAGCAAGATATAGCAGAGAAGTCAATGCTTTCTTTTTCGCCACTTCAATATGAGAATTGTTAATGAACCTAATTCATTCGTCGACTCTATCTGATATTTGGATGAAGCACGAGTTCTATAACAAGATGCACTACTTTCATGTCTCGAAATATATATAAATCTCCAATAAGACTATATATCCATAGGATTAGTGTAGTAAAGATAAGGATGTTGAGATGAATGAGTGACAAGATAAATAAGTATAGAATTGGAAATGAATACATACAAGAGAACTTAGATGTGGCTCCAATACGCGATAAAATGAGGAAAAGTAGATTTGGATGGGTTGGTTATGTGCAACATAGACCTAATACAATATCGTTTGGGAGGGGTGAAATGGTTCAAGTGCACGCCTCTAAAAAGGCAAGGGAGGGCCAAAAGGATATGAATGGAAGCAGTAATAAGAGATATGATTGACAATAGGACCCTTGATAGAGCAGAATGTGATAATAGAGTTCATGTAGCCAACCCTAAATAGTTGGGTTAAGGTTCAATTAATGATGACATCCATAAATCTTGAAGTCAAGATGACCACTTGGAAGGTTTTCTAACTTTCGAATACTCTTTTCTATTGGATTTTTGATGTGCACCTTACTTCTATACCATCAAGTTGCTATGTTATAGCTTTTACCTTCTTTTTTTGACTTATTTATAAATATCATATGTATTTTGAAATTTATGGTTATATAATTTTTTATAAATTTTTTTTTTTTCCGAAGTGCCTCGAGTTTTGAACTTGGTTTTCTCTTGTTTCTTTTTCCTAGTTTTTGTGTCGGAACACCAAGTTCCAACCCAAATTATCTGTCGAAACCTGCATTGGAGCACGGAGTTTGTATACGGTCTTCAAAACTTGAAAAAAAATTCGAATGATTGCATCAGATGTCCACTTGATTTTTTACACTACTTTTTTGTTTAAAAACCTAGCTGAGACATGAAGTTCCAATTTGGTTCTAAAATCTTTGTATATCTTTTTTTAGATGTGGAACTTCATATTCCAACCCAATTTTGTTAAAATTGTTAAAGTGTATTTTTTAGAATTCACATTCGCTTTTATTTTATTTTATTTTATTTTGAGTGATGCAATGAGGTTGTATTTGTAATTTTGTAAATAGGAAGAATATAGAACTACTAGGTGGTTAGTAGTAATTGTTACAAGTGGGTAGTTATTATAGTAAATATGGTTATATAAACCTCTATTTAAAAAGAAGTTGAAAAATTAGGTTATATGTATCAAATTTGTAAGAATTCTATGTACCCCACTTTTCCTCACTAAATTAGAAATGGCTTTTCTTCCAACGCATCTTGATTGTCTTTCTTGTATCTCTTTGGTGGTGAGTCTTGGGCTAGGGTGATATTATTACACTAATTGAGACGTGAATTGTTCGAGTATTGTGGCATCCATCTTTCTCCATATGTTATAAGAGCTTTAAGAGTGGTGGTGATATTGCCTTGACGCCCTTTATGAAGAAGATTGAATGTCTTTTTGAAGATGAATTTGGGTTGAAAGTCGAATGCTTATAGTGTTGAGTTGGGAACTCAACTCAAGGCTATCAACAATCTTTGTTTGAAGATCTCATTTGTTGATTTGGAAAATTTATTTCAGAGGAACGAATGAAGCGGTGCATCATTCATGGGTTAGAGACGAAGTATAGTCCCTATACTACTATTCAAGGGTGGGGTCCACAACCATTCTTAATGGAATTTGAGAATCATGGATTTTGAATTTTGAGAAGTAGTGGAGATGATCGCATCACACTTAAGAGCTAGGCATAGTCTTTTTTTAGAAAATCACTTAAGGGGAAGTGCTAAAATTACAAAAGTGTATTTTCTAGAAATCATATTAGTTTTTATTTTATTTTATTTTGAGCAATGTAGTAATGTTATATTTATAATGTTGTGTAACAGGAAGTTATAAAACTACTAGGTAGTTGGTCGTTATTGTTGCAAGTAGTAAGAACTTCTAGAGACGTGTGTGGCGGAAAAACTATGTCTTATGTATCACATTAGTTTGTAATGCTTTTGTGTACCACATTTTTCATCATTGATTGAAAATTTATTTTTCTTCCACCTCATCTTGATTGTTGCTCTTCTATCTCCTTGATTGTGAATCTTGGGCTAGTGTGACATTGTTACACTAATTAAGAAGTAGAATATTTCAGTATTGTGTCATCCGTCGTTCTCCACAAAAAAGAGAGAGAAATCCTTATATTTCCTCATTCATTGTGTTTTCGTAAAAATGTATTGATATTACTATGTATAACCGTTCAATAAGACGTACGAAGCAAATGAATGTTACTATTATACATACAATGCGAAGATTTTACCTATGTATCGTTAGAGGAACAAAATACGAAAAATTACAAAAAACCCCTAAGATCACACTTTTTATGCAATTTACCCTCTGCTTAAATTTTTCTCTCACTTATTTCCCCAAATCAAACTTTCTTAGAGGGCACCATCACAAAAATGAACTTTGACTTTTGGATAGAATATAAGACAGAATATTTGGGGCAAAAAATATTAGACAGAATAGTTGGTAGTTATATTTGGGGAAAAAATATTAGACATAAATGCCCTTCCATATTTGGCATTGACTTTTGGACCCAGAAGCACATTGCCGGAGAACATAAGCGCCAGACTACCCTAAGATAACTACCACCGAAACTGAGTACTGTTAGACCCTTTACATAGTGTCGAAGCCCTTGAATCCACTAACATCTACTGCCAGACCGCCCTTTGCAATGGCCAGACCACCCTTTGCAACTGCTGGACTGCACTTTACACAGTGCCGGAGCCCTACTGCCATACCGCCGGACCTTATTGTCGGAGCCCACTTTACACAGTGTTGGAGCCCTACTGCCAGACGGCACTTACACAGTGTTGGATCCCCTATTTTGATGGGATAGAGGAGAGAGAGGCGTGGGTAAGGTAAAACTAAGAGAAGATAAAGGTAAAAGTAAAGGAGGGTAGTTTAGGTATTTTTTATTTTTTAATTTGTTGGGGGCTATTTGCATAAAAAGTGTATTTTGAAGAAAAAAGTGAGGTTGAGGGTATGTTGCATAGAAAGTGCAGTTTGGGGGGTTTTTGTAATTTTGCCAACAGAATATCCCACGACAAAATAAATTGGAATATGAAAAAGAAAAAGAGAAAAAATCCAAAGAAGGAAAAAGAGGAAGAAAAATAGAAAGAGGAACAACATAAAAGAAGAAAAACAAAATGTAAATGCATCTTAAAAATGCTAGAAATAATTAAAGCCCCTGATTAAACATAAGCCTCTCAATTTTTGGATGGTCACAACTAGTTGTTTAAGGACTCAAAATTATTATTATTAATATTATTATTAATATTATTATTATTATTATTATTATTATTATTATTCTTATTTTATTATTATTATTATTATTATTATTATTATTATTATTATTATTATTATTATTATTATTATTATTATTACTATTACTATTACTATTACTATTACTATTACTATTACTATTACTATTACTATTACTATTACTATTACAATTACTATTACTATTAATATTACTATTACTATTACTATTACTATACTATTACTATTACTATTACTATTACTATTACTATTACTATTACTATTATATTAT